GGAGTTTGTTGAAATATGGAAAAATCCCAAATTTCCACATGGAACATATAATATATCATAATTTAAAAAATTTGGGGAATAAATGGATTATACTTACTTTTATTTTTAGTATAGTCTTTTCATTACTTCAGAAGATTCTTAGAAAAGAAATTTTTTGATCGGTTATTTTCGTCTGTAGTCGTTTGAAATATGGAAAAATCTCAAATTTCTAAATGGAACATGTACATTATATTTTACGAAATTTTGTACATAAATGAATTATTGTTATTTTTATTTCTTAGTACAACTTTCGTTTCTCTCTTCCTCAACGAGATATCCTCAGTGTGAAACATTTTTTGATCGGTTGATGTTGGTAGTTTTCGTTTGGAGTTCGTTGAAAAATGAAAAATCCCAAATTTGCAAATGGAATATCTACATCATAATGTACAAAATTTTGTATATATATCAATTATTCTTATATTAATTTCTTATTATAGTCTTTTTGTTTCTCTCTTAAATGCTTCAAGAAGATTCTCAGAAAAAAATAATTGTTGATCGATTGTCATCGGTAGTTTTCGTTTGGAGTTCGTTGAAATGTGGAAAAATGCCAAATTCCCAATCATAATTCACAAAATTTTGTACATGATTAGTTACTAGTATTTTCATTTCTTAATATGGTCTTTTCTCTTGTTCATTAAGAAGATCCTTAGTAAAAGAAATTTTTTGATCAGTTGTTTTCGGTATTTTTCGTTTGGAGTGCGTTGAAATATGGAAAAATTTCAATTTCCCAAATGGAACATATATATCATAATTCACAAAATTTTGTACATAAATTTGTATTTTTATTTCTCAGTAAACTTTTTACATTTCTCTCTTCCTCAAGAAGATCCTTAAGAAATCTTTTATTGTGGTTATTAATTTAAATAAATTTTTAAAGCCAACGTAATTACCATGATATAATATTTTTTCTTCTTATCTTATATCCAATTTCATACGTTTATCTTCCTCATTTAGATCTATTATAAAAATTTTAATTTATTTTTTTGTCCGGTTCCATATATTTTCATTTTTACCACATTTAAAAAATGCATTTTCTTCCTCATTGAATTTTGCATAATTAAGAGCATCGGTTTACTTTCATTTTCGTTTCGTTTAATTTTCATTTCAAGGAGCTTTGTCCTTAATTTTATGATTTTTTGCATTTTTGTTTTTATTTTTCAATAAGACATGCTTGTTTCATGTTGAAATTGATTTTTTGATTCGCTTGGTTATTTATATGAGAAATTAAATTAATTACTTAGTAATCAAATATACACAAAAGGGTAGACAAAAAAGAGTAAATCAAAAAACCGAAGATTGCTCTTTATAATAATGATGTGCAAAATCTAAAAAAGTGGACAAATGGATTTTTATTTATTGTTATACATAAAATAGATCATAAGATTTTTTATATAAATTTGGTCTGTCTTGTCTGGCAATTAAGGCTTTCAGTCATCCCGGTTTTATACTTCTGATTGTTCCTGGCTATCACATTTCTGATGTAGAATTTGGAATTGAATAAAGATAATTTAAATAATATTACATTAACAAATGAAAATGTAAAATTAATATACAAAATGCAAAAATGATATTTGTGAAATTTACAACATAAAACGAGATCTTTGTATAACTTTGTATAAAATGTATATTTTCGTGTTATTACGAAATCAGCTGCCAGATTTGACAAAAACTTTGTTGCTATCAAAATTATATCTTATTTTAAAGTTTATTCTAACTCAACAAGTTTGACTAGTTATTATTAATGTTTTTGCTAACCTGTTTGGCTAGATGTCATTTTTTAGATCCGAATCAAATTTAAAACAACATTTTTTTCTATTTTTAAATTTAGTATAAATTTAGAAAATGAGTAGATTATTAGTTATGTCTATCTTTTTATATGCACAGACTTTTTCTCAGACATATAAATTTAATGACTTAATTGTTTAATTGGATATTAATTAGACCTCTGACATCTAGAATGAAGTACATCATACATTTGTTTTCGTCTTCGAGCGTTTGTGCGTTTGACTACATACTCTCAGGAAAAACTCTTTAAAAAATAGTTGTATGGTTTCAAATTGTTTTTGATGATATGTTATATTATATTACAATATAATATTATTGATTTTTTAATAATTTTTCACAATTATATAGAACCTTGTTAAATATTCTAAAATTTTCAATTTGCATCTTTATCAATTACTCATTTCTTCCAATGGTGCAAAGTACAAACTATAACTCCAAACAATTTTATGTACATTACAAAACATAATTTAATTAGCAAATTGCTGTTAATTTGACGTCCGTAAGTGGTAATTAATAATAAAATGTAATTGTTTTATTGATTTATATTTTATAGCTCCTTTATATACAAGTTTTAGAATATATTACATATATACATTTATTACCATTCTTGAAGTTTGGTTTTGAAAAACCGATTTGCTTATTTTGAATTATCGCGATGTTCAAGTCATTATAAATCGTTTGATACCAAACATTGGAAAAACTACGAGTGTGATCAAATATTGACATCTTGTCGACATTCTCGAAAACGGCTGTCTCGATTTTAACCATATTATAATAATTTTTTGAAACTCGATTTGATTCGCATTGATTAGTTTTGCGAGATGATCGGCCGAGCCATTTCTTTAGAAATTCTTCACAAAAGTGCAACATTTTTTATCAACATTCTTCAAAATATTTCTGAAGCTGATTTAAAAATTCAGACATTCTTTGAAATATATTAGCTGGGAACAGAGTGCTGGTTAGTTTATGGTAAAGATCGATCTGGCCGATTTTCCGGTGTTGAATTTTTTTAACGATTGTGATGAAAATTTGCATGATGATAGAGTTTATAGTCTCCTAAAATATGCCTACGATAATCGATTTTTTTATAAATATTCATTTAAATTTAAAATAGACCAAATTTTGAAAATTCTGACGTTGCTAAATCTCAATTCTTATCAAGTCGCTCATTTACTCACATCGGGAAGATAATTCAATTTGCTTTGGGGCAAAATTCCATTTACACCTAATGAGTTTTTTTTAATTCTCATAATTATATTGAATAATCAGTTAAAGATTCTAAAATTTTCATTTTTTCGCAACTTATCTTTATTTTGTTCGCTGGCTCAAGCTAAAATTCAAATATTAAGGTGCGCCTCACCTAAAAAACGAACATGACAAATAATATGCACAGAATAAAAATTTCAAACAAACGTCATATTCGTTCGTACTCGTTTGTGAGGTGAGGCGCACCTTTACAAAACATAATTTACGAAGTGCAAAATTTCGATAAAAAAATTAAATATTTTATTGATTTAATATTTAAAGCTACTAAAAATATGGATTATTAAAACAATATGAAGTAATAAAATGTGGATACTAAAATATGTATACGAGGTCTGTTCAAAAAGTACCCGGAATTTTCGTTTTTTTAAAAAAATATTTATTTATTCGTCTACATTAATGTGGTCCCCTTCAAAGTAGTCCCCCCCAGATATAATACACTTATGCCAGCGTTTTTTCCAATTTTCGAAGCACCCTTGATATTCACTTTTTGATATGTCCTTGAGCACTCTCAGCGATTTTCTTCAATCGAGGAAAACCGCCGTCCTTTCATGGGTCTCTTCAACTTTGGGAATAGGAAAAAGTCACACGGAGCCATATCTGGTGAATTTTTGCACTTTGCAACACTTTATTTCATTTTTTACGCAAAATTTAATACAAATTCTTTGACTTTTCAATTCTTCCATTGTAAAAATCGCCGAGCTCAGAAAAACACGTCGAACCTTAGCGACTACCACAGACAAAGTAAACAGTGAATATAGCTGAAAATTTCATCATACTTTAGGGGCATGTATACCAACACAATAAAAAAAAATTTTGACAATCAGACACTCCAGACCCGCGAAATTTAATTATTAGTAATTCCGGGTACTTTTTGAACACACCTCGTATATGCTTTGAAACCAGAAACAGATCATTAATCCTTAGCTACGAACGTCTTCGATAGACGACATCGACTTCAATATTTATTACTCTTGAGAATCAAATTTTGAAAACTCTAATTTGTTATTGCAGTTGTTAGTTTATTAACTACCATTTGTTATTTTTAATTCCTAAATACATTTTAATCGATAGTCATTGGAAAATCTAAAAATATTTTGTATAACAAATACTTAGGCTGTTTACTGACTCCTGTAGAAAATAGTAATGAAAGTGCTAAATACAATTTCAAAATAATTTAAGAATAAAGTCTTACAGTGTTAGACATAATTTAACATTTAATTAACGGATTTTTGTTAGTCCAAGTGCGAAATAACTTATTAACTTATTATAAAATAAAATTAAAATTTTTATTTGCAAAAAATGGTTTGAAAGAGAGTTTTAGTGAGTACATTTGCACTCAAGTTGGGTTACGAGTATATCAAAGTGTTTCCTTTGAGTATATTGCTCATTTTGAAATATATACAAAAAAAAAAAAATTTTCTTGTTGAATAGTTTATTGGTGTTTTACAAAACTTAATATTTTACTTTGAATATTGCACATGAAATAATTATCTAAAAGTGATTTTCCAGTAGTAGTCTAACAACTGACAACATTGTCTGTTAATCTCTGTCGATTCCCCATAAATCTTCGCAATTTTGTTTCTAGTTTGTCATATATGCATATTAATATGTACGAAGTCATCTGTGTAATGTCTATATGTAACATGTGCATAAAATTTTATACTATGAATATGCATTAGCCATGATCCCCACTCTCGTGTTGATCACACGTTCTGAAACCTTCCAATGTTGTCTTCAATAAAACCGATCTATTCATGTCGCAATCGTTAGACAAACAACAACACACCGAAATAATTCAAATTTGACTTGTTTATAAAATTTCTGAAACATTGATAAACCAAATTCATTGTGGAATTTTTCGTGATATAATATTTAGTTCATAATTAGAAGACAATGTTAAAATTGTGTTTTTGGTGGATGAGTGACAGTTGGAGTCGTTGAAAAATTCCTGGAGAATTATATATTAATTTATATATGATTTTTTAAATTTTTTTTCACATTTATTAAACATTCCTAGTCGCCTGGGGGTGCATTATTTTCTTCTTAATTTATTTTAAATTAAATTTAATTAATATCTGATCACCTGTTACCAAGAGCAGAACTGTGTTTCAAAGATCATGTAAAATTGAATGCAAATGTGTAGTTACGCAATAAGTTACCTATCTGGATTTATGTCAGTGAATTAAAATGAATGTTTCTAAACAAGACTAATTAATTAACTCATTAATATTCTGTGTTTTGATCTGTGAACAAATAAATTACCAAAATGCTGGGCATATCGCATATAAATACCCACTTAAGCAAAGGACATATCGAGGAGTCTACGCCGACGAAATTTAAAGATACAGTAAGTTAATAAAAATATTTAAATTTATTTGTTTATGAAATGTTTAAAAAGTTAATGGCATCGAAAACTTATAATACAAGTTATGGATATATAATAACATTATATGTGCATTAATTAAGTTAAATGATGGCTCGTGTTTTTTTCGTCCTTCCATTTTTCATAATTGATGATTATAAGTCAATGGGATGAAGTAACAAGCTGATTGCATAATTCGAATCATATATCAGAAATATTAAAATTTAAATAATTACCGATGTATAATGTGCCAAATATATACATTTTTTTATTCTTTTCCAAAATCTTTTCATATAGTAAGACATTGAGTAATTAATTTGATAAATAACAAAGAATTTAATAAGGAAAATTCAGTTGTTTACCAATGTGTTAAATATATTAATCCAAAAGATAATTTTTATTATTATACGTTGGGATTATATATTACGTTCATTAATAATAACAAAAATAATGATCTAATTTGATTTGTTTTGGAATTTTAATTTTAAAATATTAAATTTTTTGTTACGTCTTACATATTTATTTACTTACATATTCAATTTAGATGTTATTTTATATATTTAAACATTTATTTTGTTTATTTTTGACTTTGCATTGATTTTTGATTTGTCATCAAATAGTTCTTAATATATAAATTATTTACTTCAAGAAATATTCAATATCAATTTTATCCTTAATTTCTTAATTATGCGACAAACAGTAATTTTTTATGCAAAGTACATGTTATCAAGGAATTGTCAAATATATATTTTCTATTTATTGCACAATAATTAGATCCCTTTAGATGTTCATTTTATACATAAATACTATGAACAAAAAATGGACAAAATTATAATATATGTCACAAGTATTTTTTACTTGTAATAAACTAATTGTATAATTTTAATCATATATCTAAAATAATAAAATTTAATGAGAAGTGAAATAACTAAACGAGCAACTAATGGGTTGTTTTCCCAAAACAGCCATCTGCTAAAAATGACAAAACAATTAATTACTAAATGTCTTCATAATAGACATTGATGTATTTTTATATATATAAAAAGAACGACGTCTTAAATAAATTTAAGATGTTTTTTCTTTGTTTTTTTTTTATCAAATAGTTCTAAATTAATTTTTATCAAGTAGTTCTTGCAATGTATCACATTATAGTATCGTTAATTTCCTAATTATATGACTATAACAATAATTTTATTATTATATTGTTATGTAGGAATTTACATACATTTTTTTCTTCAATTTATTTTATAAAATTATTAGATATTTATTTTAGTCAAAAAATACTATTCAAGTACATATATTAAAAAATATGCTACAACTAGGAAGGGACAACTAGTGGATTGCCTTGCGAAATTGGGCATCTACTAAAAATTACAAAATTATGATTACTAAATGCCTTCATAATAATAGAACAGATCGTAATTTAAATAGAAGTTAAAAAATATATATTTATTTTATTTTCATATTAGACTTTATTAATTATTTTAATATAAACTAAGCACATATGTGAGCGCAGAAAATTAAAACGTCGTTTTTTTAAATAAAATTACTTTTTTAGAATTCTTTGTAAATCGCAACGACATTAAATTGAAAGAAAGATAATAAAATTCTTTTTATATAACTTGTGTGCAGACGGAATGTAAATATCATTTGAAACGATCATTAAGCGATAGTTTTATTGGTTCATGCTTGCAATGCCTATACAATATATTTTTGCTCATAAAATTTACGTAATAAAGTCACAAGATATAATAAATATTTTTTACGTTTGTTTTTACTTGGTTATTAAAGACATTAAATGTCTTTACACTAAATGTCTTGACATTAAATGTCTTTATTATTTTAAATCCATTTAAAGATTATCTTTGTTTGAAAAACTAATATTCAACTTACAAATTTCTGGTAAACCAAATATCGTATAAAAAATCTAGAACGGTATTTGGGAGGAAAACATTACTTTCGTTTTTTTGGGCTCCCTCGTATTAGATCTATGGAATTTCAGTTAAAACTTCGAGGTTTAATACCTCCTTTGAACAGGCTGATGTAAAGCAGTAGTGACATTGGTTTTCACTTGGAAATATAGAAACAATATGTTTCCAAGCGGAATTAGCCCTCACCGGTATCCGGCTCCATCAATAAGAAAAATTTATCAGTATTACAGAAATCGTAATAAGAAATTCATCACGTAGGAATAGGACACCCGTTTTTGTTGCTATCTATAAAAATCGACGTCGTTTAAGAAAACAGCACATAAGGTTCGTTAAGTCCTGATAGCCAAAATTAAAAATTAAAAATTGTTGACAGACAGTTCGTAATTTGTCTGTATCTTTAGGCATATGTCATAATCGTTTGATGCTAAAATAATTGTTATGTCGCTAATAATACTTAGTTCTTAAATCCTATTTATATTTTTGGTAAAAAGGCGGAGATTATTCTGTTGATTTACACTATTCAAACTATTAAATTTTAGTTATTATTTATATTGCAATATTGTAATTGATTCATATTAATGCTCATCAGAATACGTTTTATAACAAATGCTAATATCATCTTTAGTTCTAATAAGTTTAGAAAAAGTAACTTTAAGCCGCGCCATTACCATTACAATGCTGTAGTTTCATTATTTTACACTAAATTTCAAATTTTACAACGCTGTAAATATAGTAATTTGCACTAAATTACATATTGTACTAAAAACACATGCAATTGAAAATTCATTTTAAAATTTAATTCAAGAGATGATGAACAAAGTACACATTAGTCAGCGCAGGAACCTAAATTAATTGTATGAAAAATTCCATGTTCTAGTCATGAAAACAAATAACTATTTTAATCAGCAAATGAGTCAGTGACTCTTAATTTTTTTTATTTATTTTGTACAAAATACCACCTAGAGTCGTAGAAAATTTATTTTTGTTTATGTGTGGAAAGAAAAATTTTAAAAAAATTATTGTAATCTTTTTATGATATTTTGATCATACAATTATCATTAGCAAATTTATTTCATTTAAGCCATAAATACTGCAAATGTGTGTTTTTAGCATCTATAAGTGTAGGAATTGCTATTGACTATAGTTACAAAGTTAAATCTGTTCTAAATGCTTTTTTAAATAGTTTATATTTATTTTGCCATATAATTTACACTTATCCTTAGTGGTTATCTGGAAAATATAAAAAATGTAAATAAATGACTTCTACTTTAAGTTAAAATACTAAAGACTAAAATTAATTTTTCATACATCTCGGTCCTAAAAGTCAATATTTCCTCAAATTGACGTTTCCTTCTCTTGATGTGTATTTTCCAAGTTCATAAATGGTCCTTTTGTGGAATTTGTTCTAAACATATACATTTAAATTCAAATTGTATGTAGTTTTAAAAATCGTAAATATTTAATTTTTAGTACATAGAAACTGGTAATTTTGGAAATAATTTTATTTCTTTATAAACATTTTAATAACAGCAGAATATAATTCATTTAATACATTTTAATGAGTGGTTATCATTTAATGAAATGCAAAAAATATATTTGGTGCTTATAAGTAAAGACAAGCAAAGAATTTCTAATAATTAAACACAAAAATAAATGTGTGTTTAATAATTATTAACTAATGTGGATATATATTAATTATTCATATCCAAATAAGTTACCGGTGTCGATGTAAACAAATAACATATACGGCATATATCTATCATATCATATGTATCTATCACTCACATTGAATAAATTTATGTAAGTGCGAAGACAGGCCTCTAACTCGTTTTGGAGGTCTCTTATAAGGTTATACATTTTTTTATAAAAGCAAATCTATAATCTAATGTCCGAGATTCAAAATAACAGACAACGAGCTGAAGTCAAGAATTTGAATCTAGGAATTAACTGGTAGTCATTTGCATGAAAACAAAACATAAATTCTGGGATGAGTCTCATTTTTTACATAGACTTTAAAAATCTTGTTTTATCTTATTTAAATCGTACAGGTTTTTTTTTTAATATTGATAAAACAAAATAAAAGCAATATCATACGAAAACTATATCTTTTGGAAATATAATGAATATATTTTAAAATAAAATTAAGTTTTTATATATTTAATATAATATTATTATAGATTCAATTAAATTTAAATGATAAAATTATAGATTATAAAATTATTTTATACTTAATTGGATATAGAGCTATATTTTAAATTCTTCTTAATCTTTTCTTATTTGAACCGCATTTTAGAAAATGGTTATCTAAAATTACTTTCGTAATTTTCGAAAAAGCTTTCTCAAATTACTCTTTTAGTCAATCCATTATATAATAATTGCAATTTAATGCAAATGAGTTTAATTTCATTTTTGACATTTTCTTTAATAGTTAAAAGCAATATTTTATAGGAAATCTTGCATTTTTCTAGAAAGTAACAAAAGGATAGAAATAACAAAAAAATATATAAAAAATAATAGTACTCATAGAAGTGAAACTTCGTAATGTGGAATTGAAAATATAAATTATTTAATTTAATTTCAAACATTTTCAGACTATTTACAACTTTGTCTGACAATTTAGAACAATTTGCAACAGTTTTAGATCGATAACATTTTCAGATAATTTGTGAAATTTTCAGACGATTTTATAACATTATCAGACATTTTTTAACAGTTTCAGACAATTACTAATCTTTTAGAGATTTACTAACATTTTCATACATTTTTTAAGATTTGCAGATATTGTCAGACATTTTGTAACATTTTCAGACAATTTCTAACATTTTCAGACAGTTTGTAACATTTTCAGATAATTTCTAACATTTTCAGATAATTTCTAACATTTCAGACATTTTCTAACATTTTTGGACATTTTTTAACATTTTCAGACAATTTGTAACATTTTCAGGTAATTTCTAACATTCCAGACATTTTTGAATATTTTCAGACAATTTCTAACATTTTCAGACAATTTATAACATTTTTATACAATTACAATTGTATAATCTATTTTTT